ATTTGTCTTATTTTTCTAGGTTCCTTTTTTAACGGTAATGTCATGCAATTAAAGACTTTTAATTCTTTTTTAAGGTTATTAAAGACTAAAACTTTTTGTTGAAGGTAATTAAAGACTTTAATTATCATTACTATTTGTGGAGAATTCTATTAGTTAAAATAATAAAATCTAAGAAAATATATCTTTTGTAATTGTTGTCTTTGTTTCCTTTTTCGTAATTAAATGACATTTTTACTGGTTTTCTCTCCAAACAAAAAGAAAAAAAAAAAGAAATTAAGCTGGGTGGCCAATAGTTCACTCGGCCCAAAATATTTGTGTGCAGCTTTTCTATTTCAGCAAAATAGCCGTAATTTCCCATACTTTTAATTGCATTCTTACTTTTTCAAGTTTATTTACAGGAGAATATTATAAATAGAAAATTTTGTGAACTAAATTGAGTAAATAGCGTATTTTAAATTTTATAAATTAAATAACAATTTACCGTATAAATATTTCATTAACGACTAGTAAAAAGATTTCTTTTCCACCTAAATTTTCTTTTTACGATTTTTTTTCCACTTAATTAAAGATTTTTTACTATATAAATTATTTTTCACTTATTGTAAATAACACATTTACCTGATAAATTACTATTTTACATTAAATAGTTCCTTTTACGATTGTTAAAAAGATTTTTTTCCACTTAAATAAAGATTTTTTACCATATAAATTATTTTTCACTTATTGTAAATGACACATTTACTTGATAAATTACTATTTTACATTAAATAGTTTTAAAATATGTTATTTACTTAATTTAATTACAAAAATATGATATTTACAGCATTTTGCTTTTTTTAATAATTATCCCCAATTCTTATAAAATAAAAAAAAGGTTTCCTATTTCATGCGATAATTACCCATAATTGATGGTAATTTCTTTATCTGCAATTTGCATAATTTAATTTCAGATATTTTGTTTAATAAAAATTGGTTTTTATGTTTTTTTTTTTCCTAAGCATAAATTTAAAATTTAAAATTATGATGATTAATCTCATTTTTTATTTTAAATATGAAAATAAAAATAAGATGAGAAATCCAATTTGGACTTGTATCTCCTTTTAGAAATAACTAGCTGATATCCCGCGCATTGCTGCGGGAAATATCATTATAAGTTTGGGAATAATTTTCATATATATTCATTGTAAATATATATACAACTATATTTATATATATAGATATATATACAGTATTTTTGTTTAAACTTTTTTATGATGAAACATTGCTGTTGTTTTGCTTCTTTCTCCTGTTTTTTTAACTGCAAGATACAAATTTTAGAAAACAAAAAATTAGAGAGACAAAAAATGCCAAAAAATGATAATGAAGACAAACGATTAGGAAGAACAAAATCTATCAGATAAAAACGTGTAGAAATTGACCAAATAAGAAGAACAAAATAGATGTAATGAAAGCATGAGAGAAACAGTAAAGATCTTAAAGATCAGCATTTCAATCAAAATGATAAAAAAGGCTCAACTGCAAAACAAATTTGGAAATAAAAAACTGAGGACGGAAGCTTACAATCATATTGTAGAGCAACAAAAGAATCAAAGGTCCGGGCATAGGATAGAAAGAAGAAAAAGAGCAAAAAAAGAAAATAAAAGAAAATAAAAGAAATTCAATTTTTGGAAGCAAACTAAATATAGAAATATCAAAAGTCTAAAATAAATTAAAACTGTAGATAAACAAAAATCGAGTAACATAAAAGAAAGGCTAGTGTATGAATGAGTAAATGTTATAGAATAGTAAAAGTTAAAACATCAAAGAAGTAGTAATCGTCAGCATTTCATTTCCATCAAAATGATCAAGAAGGCTCAACTGCAAAACAAATTGAGAAATAAAAAACTCAGGACAAAAGCTTACAATCATATTGTAGAGTAAGAAAAGAGTCAAAAGTCCCGGCATAGGAGATAGATAAGAAAGATGGCAAAAACAAAAAAAAAATGAAAGAAAAAGTCAGAAATTCAAATTGAAGAAACAACCAAAATGGAGAAATATGAAAAGTCCAAAATAAGTGAAAATCGAGTGACATAAAAGAAAAGCTAGTATATGAATAAGTAAATGTTAAATAGAATAGTAAAAGCTAAGACAACAATAACAGAAAGACAAAGCTAATCTATGTATAAATAAGTTTTCAATCAAATACTAATACCAAAAGACCAAAAGGACCAAAATAAATGTGAAAAAAAAGAAAAAAGGGAGAGGGAGAAACAGACCGGCAAAAAATGTTTATAAAGAAGAATGAGCGAAGGCATAATCAAAATAAGGAAGATACATTCACAACAATTTTTAAACAACTTATATAAAACTTATGATGTCAAGATTGATCAAAATCATCATTGCCACAGTAAATACTGAACAAAAGTAAAATATGTCTACCGAATAAAAAGGTAAAATTCATCTGCAGAAAAAGAGATGTGTGTGTGTGTATATATATATATATATAAGTTTTGAATGAAATATTCATCCAGAAAAAGATAAAAGGGTTAGAGTAACTATTAAAAAGAAGAGAAATTTGGCCAATAAATTTTAGTTAAAGTAGTTGAAAATAAGTATATGAAACAATTCTCGCTTGTTTGCCTGGCGGAAAATACGCGCTCCTTCCTACAGTGTTGAGGTCTGCATTTCAAATTCCAGTGCCAATTAAAATAGAAAATAAAAAAACATTCGATTTTTAGAAACAAATGCAGGGACCTTGGAGAAGAGATTGATGGTACGAAAGAAGGTGAGCCTGAGATGTGGATTTCGAGCGTTGGACTTGAGAGCGGTCTCGTGCTGGACGATCCAGAAAAAAGGTCAATGGCGACTCGCTTGTTCTGCAAGAAATCGAAGCCCTCGTTCCGGGCATAGGGTTTGAGCAAGTCCCATAATTTGCCTCCAACCCCCATTGATTTCTCAGAGAAATTATTACCCACATTATAGAGGACGAGGAGGGTTTAAGCCATTTATGGTTCAACTGATAAACAAGTAGGAAGAGCGATTTTTTTCTTTTTCTTTTTCTTTTTTGTGTGGAAAGGAGTAGGAAGAGGTTCTTTCGCTTCCCAAGAAAGGAAACAAATGGCATCGTTCATTTCACCAATTTGAGTTTTCAATTTTAGGTTTTTACAGTAAAAAGCTCTCAGAAAATATCACATCAAAATTTTCTGGTACAGTGAAAAGCTCTAAAAAAATATCGAATATCAACTCGAATCTGTGAAGTGAACGAGGCCGAAAAGAATGTCGTTTGGTGTTTAACCAAGGGAAGAAAAATTGGCTGGAGTTTTATTCGGCCCATTGTCTCAATTGTTCATTCATCCCATTCATAATGACTTAAATTTCATGAATTGTTGAGTATTAATATTTGGTGATTTTTCTATTTAAAAAAGTAATTAGTGATTTTTTTGTTTTATTATAAATTGTTTAAAAAGTTTCACCAATAAGTTTTGTCACAAAATTTAAATATAGAACTAAAATTATTAATTTGAACTCATGAACTGAAAGAGTCCATATAACTCTTCCTCTAGATATGCGTAAAGAAAATATGGACAGCAAATAGAAGAATAACAAAAATGATGTGACAATTCACCAAATAAAATAAAAATATAAATGATAACGAAACTAAAATATTGTGAAAATAGAGTTAGGTGTTTGTTAGGAAATACACTTTCCCAAAATTTTTCTAGAAACAAAAAATGAAAAAAATGGGATTTTTTCCGGTACGCCAACATCAATAGATCATGTTTTCTGTCCGTCAAATCTATATAAAATTACGTAAAAATCAAAAAATACGTAGTCTCTAAAAAAACTATTCGAAAGTCCTAAACAAATACGTTAAGTACTGTTCAGCGAAAAAAGTGCATGTAAATAACCTAACTACTTTTTCCAGCAAAATAACCTAAGTTCTCAGGGGAGAGAGCGGAAGAAAAAACCTCTTTTCAAGTTATCATGTCAAACTTAAATATCCAATAGGCCTCAATCTCATCACCACTAAAAAAACAGCAATATGAAACAACGTGGATCTCTTTATCTGTTGATGTTAATTATAGGGTATTAAAATCTTATTCTCCATGTATGACAAAAAAAGGTGTCCTACCATAAATGCTGTCTTTTAAAAAAAAAATATATATAAAAAGCTCGTTACAAAACCAATATATGCAAGAAAATAAGAACCGACTTATTAGATGTAAAGAACCGATTTATTAGATGTGTTAAATAAGTAAAGAATCGACTTATTTTTAAATAAGTAAAAATAAATAAGCAAAGAACCGTTAAAGCGCTCTCAATCTCATGAACTGAACAAGTCAATATAACTCTTCCTCTATATACGCGCAAAGAAAATATGAAAAACAAATAGAATAACAAAAATGATGTGACAATTCACCAAAGAAAATAAAAATATAAATAATAAAGAAACTAAAATATTGTGAAAATAGAGTTAGGTGTTTGCTAGAAAATACACTTTCCCAAAATTTTTCTAAAAACAGAAAATGAAAAAAATATGGGATACTTGTTATAAAATAATTTTATTTTTTGTATGAAAATAGAAATAAAAATATTTTTAATTTTAAACAAAAATTATTTTTAAAAATGCGTTTACTAGTTTTATCAAGAGATTATTTTCAGAAATCATTTCTACTACAGTTAAAAACTTTTAAAAAAATATCACATCTCAACTTAAATTAAAAACTCAAATCTACAAAATAGACTAAAGTCTCATTTATTTCGCAGATTCGAGTTGAGATGTGACATTTTCTGAGAACTTTTCACTATAACAAAAAAAGTTAGATGTAATATTTTTTGAGAATTTTTTACTGTAAAAATTTAAAACTAAAAATTCAAATCGGTAAAATAAACGAGAACTAAACCTAAATAAATAAAGAATCGATTTATTTTTAAATAAGCAAAAATAAATAAGCAAGGAACCGTTAAAACGCTCTCAATCTCTCGCCTTCTCTCTCTCCTAAGAACCGACTTATCGGATGTGTTAAAGCGCTCTCCATCTCTCTCGTCTTCTCTCTCTCTCTCTCCTAAGAACCTATTGGGTGTGTCGTCGCTTTCAATCCTAAAGCACTCTCAATCTCTCTCTCCTCCGTTTCTTCTCTTTCTCTCTCTAATTTTCGCAGCCATGAACCACTTCATTCAGCCAAGAAATGCAATCTTAAGGGAGAGGACGGTCAAGTGTCCGGCCTCGCCCAACCCTAGCACAGCCAAACCCTGGCAGTCGCGGAAGCAGAGGGGCTCCGAGGAGAACGCTCCGCCGTCGGATCCGATCTCATTGCCCCCGATTCCGAAGCACTCACAAGCGATCTCCTCCGCCAAGTTGAAGGGCCCGCTCCCGTCACGACCGCCGTCTTCGAACCCTCTCAAGAGAAAGCTGAGCATGGAGACGGCTCTCGAGAACTCCGTAATTGGAACCTGCGAATCTGGTGTCCAGGTATGGTTGTGTGTGATTCTGACTGGAGTTACTTATTTTGTTTAGCTGCGGAAGGAAAAAAGAGGTTTATTTTTGAATCTGAAGCGTAAAATTAGGGTTGATTTAAATTCGGTTGAGTTTGACTCTTTTTTTTTTTTTTTTTTTTTTTTTTCAATTTATACAAATTCTATGCCTTTGTTCTCCGAGGGAAAACCACGAAAAGAAATTGAAACTAGGGGTTTCGAATTTCTTCTTTTTGGTCTGGTGAGAATTTGAAAAGCCTTGACGTATTTAGTATTGTTCGGGATTTCATTGGTTGAAGAAAGTAGAGAGTGTTTGATTAGTTAAAATAATAAGGAACCTCAGAGACACAAGTAAAACACGTCAATTTCCCCAACGGGCGTTCCTTCTTCCGCCGATTACTGGTCGTTTATCCGACGGTCGCCTCACCATCGACTTTCTCTATTGGGGAGACTTGTTTGAAGGACAATGGTTGGGACACAGGGTTGCGCTGGTCCAATTTGTGGCTATGAGATGCTTATGTCATTTAATTGCCTGTACAATCAGATCTGTCAGATCTGTCGAAGAATCAAGACAAATTTCTTCTAAGAGGCAATTTCTCGACTTTTTATTAGGTTCGGTGCCTTTTTAGGAGTGTTTTCATTTTGTTGATACGAGTGATTTTTGGTGCTTGGATATTTAGGGATCTGAAGTAAGAAAATGGGGCTGACATTCACGAAGCTTTTCAGCCGGCTTTTTGCAAAGAATAGAGATTCGCATCTCTAATGCTTGGTCTTGATGCAGCTGGTAAGACCACCATTCTCTACAATCTCAAGCTTGATGAGATCGTCACAAGAATTCCTACCATTGGTGAGTTCTTCCTTCCATACTAAATTGATGAGAATGCTCATTTGTTCTGTTTTCTGGTTTTGATAACTGGTTCTTAACTTTTAGTTGGAGAGTTCAAATTTTTGGTCTGACCTATTTGTTACTTGATTAATGTTGATATCATAAATTACTAAATTTTGAAAATTGTAAATTTTGAATTTCACGTAACAACATTAAAGCCAACTCATGTAATTTGTGTGATGATTATTGGGTGCTGAGACATAATTGTTCCTAAATTGAAGTCTGAATATATGTTTCTGGAATCACGATCTCAAAGTATATTTGTTTTGGTTGTTGCAAATGGATCTTATTCATTTTAAATACAATTTGGTCGCTAAATATAAACTTATTAAATGTTCTTGTGCCGTTCTTTGTACTGTTCATCAATGAATTTCTCTTGTTCTTATTTTTTAAAATTTGGTGGTTAATTGTGAAATTTTTTATGAAGTTCAACCTCAAACTTTTTAAGAGCATGAAAATTTTGATTGATTTGGAATTGGATGGGGATAGTAACCTTTTGTATGTGTTTTTGGTTTAATTAAAGTTTGCTTCTTAAGTTTGCTTTAAGTTTGCTGCTTGCGCTGTTTATTTCTTGACATTTAGATCTTACTAAGTTATTTTTATTTTTGTTTGTGTTTATACTTTCCAAAATGAGGGGTTACGAAGAGGCAACATTCATTATCAGAAAATGTCAAGAGAAGGTAATACTAAAAAAAAAGGACCGCTAATTTCTTCTTTGTTTTAGACATTTGTTGGTGAATTCATTATTGTCACTTGAGAACTATTATTTTCTTGAAATGCTTTGGGGATTAGTATTTCATCACTGGATCAGTTTGCAAATTTTGCCTATTGAGTGGAAGATGTTCTTCATACATACTTTTCATAGTCCCTAGATCAGTTTGTAAATTTTGTTTTTTATTGCTCTGTTTTGGTTCTAATATTTTGACTCTTACTCATTTTTTCTTATTTCTAGATTCTCAAATATTAGTTGTGCAAATGAGTCAAGGTTACCTTCTCCAAAATGTGAGGCCCCCTTTTTTTTTTTTTTTTTTCCTTCTTGGTAGTTGCTGCAAGAATTTGTGCTTTTCTTGATTTCTCTATTGTTAATGTATGCACCATATTTTATCCTCTACCCTAATAATATTATATTGTACTTGGTTTTTCAACCATTGCATTTGTATAAGATTTCGTTCCTTTAGAAGAATGTGGATTATGGAATTTTTTTAAGATCTAAGTTAAGCATAAATTATTGGAATGATCCCACCAAAATCATAATTGTGTTTTGAAGTCAGGTTCGTCTTGCATTCTCTACTAATTTATGGACTGTTGTAGAATGCTTAAGTTTGAGGTTTTCTCTGTTCACATTTTGAAGGTATGTTCCTAATCAGATGCCCTTTTTTTTAAATTTTTTTTCCTTCTTTTCTTTTTTTGTTCTCTTAATGAAACTTCATCTCACTGAAGTGTGTCCAGAGTCCTAATGGCAGAATCTTATTTGCGTTGTTTGTTGTTTGGTTTGAATACTTTCTAGGTGGTAATGTTAAATGCTTCCTCAACATGGTTGGCTAAAGTTTGCCATGGGAAAGGGTCCCTTAAAAAGATCAGGGTTAGATTTTCAAAAAAAAAAGGGGTGAGTGTTTGATCTGCCTTTTTGCTTTTCTTCATTTGGTGGGTTTGAAACTAGTTTCTCCATTGCATGGTTGTATGCTGATGTAAGTTCACCTCTCTCTCTCTCTCTCTACAGCTTTATTTGCTGGGTGTTTTCAAGAAACTCTGCAAGTTGATTTCTGGGTCGGCCATATTTCGGACTCTTTCATTCTCAGTTATTATTTTGTTTTCCTTTTTGTTTGTTTGTTTTTTTTTTTTTTGGCTATATCTTATCATTTTGATATGTTCAGTGTCAAGATCTTTGTTTCATGAAACAGGTTTTCCTTTTGAAAATGTGGATTCTGGCTTCAACTTGATAGTGTTGTGGATGATGTATGATCTCTACTTCAATAAAGATTTCTTTTTCTTTTTTTTTTTTGTTTTTTTTTTTGTTTTGTTGTTTGTTGCACTTGCGTTTCTTAAACTATAAATTGTTTCTGTGGGCAGAAAAGATGGGATTCTTGTAGCAAATGAGACTAATTTTAAATTTTTTTTGCCAAAATCTTTGATTTGTGACTTGGATCTTTGATGTTTTGAAAGTGAATTTCTTTTGCCACTCACCAGCTTTGTTCGATTGCAGCACTATGACCAGCATTCACCAAAAGTACGCCATCTACTTCTCCTCTGCAGATGAAACGCTTCTTCCCAAAATCCTAATTTTCAATTTTGCTAAAGTCCTTCTTTTATTGTTTTCTTATTCTTCTGTATTACGATTCTATGCACATTGTTGCTCTTTTCTTTTTCTCGCGCATTCTCTTGTTGTTTGCAACCATTTTCTAGAGCATAAAGCCTAGAAATTTATTTTTTGACATTTGATTTGCATTCATTCTTGTTATTTCCTTTATTTATATATTTTTCTTTATCTTCTGCTTGTCGTTAGCCTGTTTTGGTGAATGTCATCGTCCTCTTTTGTCTTATGAAAATTTTGTTTGATTGTTTGCCATATCTTTAATCTTCAGGTTGTTTCCTTTTGTTGTTTTTATTTTTCTACTTGCTATATTGTGTTCTTTACTTTTCAAGGTGTTGTTTTATTTCTTAATTATGACGCTGCTTTTGCTGTTTCAACTGATTATAGGAGAGGCTTGGTGGGATTGGTGGTATGTTGAAATGATATTAGGCTTTTATCGAATTTGAGTTGGTACTTTTCAAGTTAAGTGAAAGAAGTGTGGTGATGGGTTGACTCTATGTTTACTGTGTAACTCATGTTTGTCTCCCTTTTTGTAAGCCCTCTTTGGAGCCTCTTCGCCACTGTTTCTTGCTTGCTTCCCTTGGAATTCCGACCCTCCTCAGAAAAAGGGTGATTTGTTTCTGTATTTCTGCCTCCCTCTCTCTCTTTTTAATATTTGAACATTGTAATTTCTTTTTGCTTCTCTGACTTGTGATAATGTGGCATTTTTTGAGTTTTTGTATTACTGTTGATTTATTGAAGATTCTTAGGTTAAAGTGGTTTATTCATAAAATGTGATCTTGCTATTTCCTCATAACACTGTCATTACTTACTCCATATCTGGTCACTTTTGCTGAAAGAGTTGGGAATCTCTGGAGCCTTGCCTAGGAACTGTAGGGAATTGATTGAGTGGTTCCTCCTTCTAATTTTAGTCTTAGGGGCAGATGTCTTTAGGAAGTTGCTACGCTATGAATCTTTTGAGGTATTTGGCTAGCAAGGAAATACAAGATTTTTTTGTTTTTTTTTGTTTTGTGGGATAAAGTGAAATATTAGGTTTTTTGGCAGGGTACACTGATATAGGGTCTTTGGTAATCCAAGTTTATTGAATTTAGTCAGGAGGTGGGCTCCTTTCTTTCTTTCACGTAGCATTTGTTCTTTGGGAGTTGCTTTTTAACCATGTATCGGATGAGATTTGAAAAAAAAAAAAAATCATCGTCTTTCCCCTTTATTACTCATCGGTTTCCTCTTGATTGTCAATCCTCTCCTCTCTTCAGCTCTCCTCTCTTCATCTTTCTTCTCCTTGGTGTTCATGTCGCTGTTCTCCCTTTGTCTTCTCCTACCCATTAATTTTGTGTTCTCTCTTTTTTTTTTGCCATTCTCAACCCCATAAAGTATATGAATTTCAAAAATCTCTCTTCAATGCTCTTCTAGACCTTGCCCCTATTAATTTTTAGCGTTTCCCTTTCCTCTCGGTGGAAATCGCTAAGAGGTAAATATCTCTATGGTTTAGTTTTGCCCTAATCTTGAATGCCTTTCATACTCTTCTTTTGGTGAGTCACTGCCTTATTTATCTCACAATCATTTTGTGTCTCTTTTCTAATATTAGGTTAGGTTCATTTTGTTGGCTTTGGGCACCGATTAGGCCGAGTCATGAATAGGCCTTAGCTCCTTCTACACCTGGGGGTCCATTCAGCCATGGTGAGTTTTTTTTTTTTTTTTTTTTTTTTTTTTTTTTTTTTTTTTTGCACTCTCTTATAATTTATCAATTAAGAGATTCTAATATTAGGTTGGGTTCATTTTGTTGGCTTTGGGCACCCCGATTAGGCCGAATCATGAATAGGCCTTAGCTCCTTCTACAACACCCGAGGGTCCATTCAGCCATGGTGAGTTTTTTTTTTTTTGTCTTGCACTCTTATAATTTATCAATTAAGAGATCTTACTCAGTTAATTCCCAAATTATGTGTTTTTTTTCCCGGCCGGAATCTTACTCAATATTGAAGGGAACATCGCAATAAAGATGGAAATAATTGTTATGGTTTATAAAGCTGGTTTCCTTTTTGTTACTGTTCGAGAAGTAGGTCATTCCTTTTGTGCTCTTTTTTTTTTTTTGGTTTTTTAGTTTTGTTTTTAGTTTTTTTTTTCTTTGCTTTCTAACGTTGTTTCTTTTCCTTTTTTTTCTCAACCGGCTTTTTTCTCTTTCCTTTTGTTTCACCTCTCTTTGCCTTTTGTTCGTGCTCTCCCTCTATGCATTCGGATGAACAAAGAGCCATCATTTTGTGCTTGTGAGAGAGACCATTATTAGAGAAAGTTGTCATTTTTTTATTGGTTCATAGGGATCAATAACGGAGAACTTCTCAATGTTCGACCTTTGGAGCTCAGATTCACATGTAAGTTTCTTTCGTAGCATTATCTTAGTTTCAGATAATAAGGAAAGGAATGTGAAATTGGGAAATTTGATGGAGCAAATTATTAGTGTTGGCTGATTAAGGTTCAAGAGATTGATTTCTTTGAGTTATGATGGTTTCCAAATTTCGTGCTCTGTTTCTTCATTCACAAAACTGAAGGAAATTATGGAAGCTTTAATCTTTAACGTTGTTTCATCCAAAAAAAATTTCTAATGTTGTTTTTTGGTTATGATTTTACAAGTTCTTGGTTGGCAACTAGATTAGGGAGGCCAAAAGAAAAATGAACGTGAATAAGAACAACTTGAGGTTAATTTAGAAAGATAAAGTTCAATTATAATTTTGTTTTTTCCTTTGAACGAAAAGATGGCAGTTTCAAATCATAAAGTTCTTATTAATTATGATTCTATGAAATTTGGTTTCGTTAGTTGTGGTGAAAAAGTTGGATTGAAGAAGCAGAGTTCATGTTCTATACACTTGACCAACAGGACGGCTAAACATGTGCCATCAAGCTTGTCACTTTGTAATTTTCCAACTTTATCTTAACGTTGAATGAGATTTTGATTTTGTTTTTAGTTTCTCATATATCTCTCACTCTCTCTCGAATTGAAATTATGTTATTTCGTGTTTGGTCTTTTTATTTTCCTTCTCCTTCAACTTGGGTTTTAATGCGTGTTCTTCCAATGCTTGATGAGGTATGTTTATTCTTCATTCTTTATTTTTTATTTTATTTTTTGTTCGATGTTCTTAAGCATTCTTGGAGATGGGTTTATACTAAACCCAGGAATTTATTATCGTAGCACCTGAATGAATGGGTTCTGTTCCTTAGGACCATGCACTTGGTCACAGAATTTTCTAATTTAAGTTTCTTTTTATTTATTTCCTTTTCTACGCTTGCTGTAACACTGGTGTCTTACCAAGTGGTGTTTGGTTTATTGGGTTATACTTGTATATCAGTGTGCAAATTTGGCCTCGTTCACTTTGCTGATTCGAGTTTAGAATTCGAGTTGAGATGTGATTTTATGTGAGAGCTTTTTACTGTAGCAAAAAAGTTAGATGTGATTGTTTGTGAGAGCTTTTTACTGTAGAAAAACTCGAATTCTAAACTTGAATCAGCGAAGTGAACGGGGCATGTAGCATATCTTGTTGTTCTTAGTATCTTACGAAAGCATGTCGACACAAACATCATATTTTAGTCTCATGCCTACCTATGAATAAGCAGTATTTATTAGTTAATATCTGTCTAATATACTATTTAGTGATTGAACCATTATATCTGTCAAATTTAAAAAAAAGAAGATATCTAAAGGTTTGTTCTTTTAAATAAAAAACTCAAAAAAAAGCAATTCGAGTTACAATTTATTCGAGTTCATGTTCTTTTAAGTTTAAACTCGAGTTCAAACTCGAATTTAAGACTAAAACTCTAGTTCAAGTTTTCCTTTCAACTCGAGTTCAGAAACTCGAACTCAAATTAATAAATAATATTTTTTTATTCTTAAAAATGCTATAACTTTTTCGTTTTAATTCTGATTGAGATAATTTTTTTTCTATGCGTTGACAACGAAAAGATGAATAAAACCCGACCCATATACCATATTACAATTTTTCATCAGTATTGAGTTTTTATTAAAATACTATCTAAATACAAATTTAAGTTTTGACTCACTCAAATACAAATTCAAAAAGATTCTTATCTTAAATCATAACTCAAATGTATACAATCAAACACAAACTCAAGTTACAAGTTCAACTCAAGTTATAACTCAAATTTAACTAAAAAATTATACTCAAGTTAAACTCTAAAAGAACAAGTCCTCAAATTTTAAAAATGAACTTAGCAGTTCTAGCCCCTTTCAAATTAACCCACAGGATAAAGGAGAAATATTTTTTAAAAGTGTATCGGTCATTATTTCAACCCCTTATTTTAGGTCCCGTTCATTTCACCGATTCAAGTTTAGAATTCGAGTTTTGTTATAGTAAAAAATTTTCAGAAACAGTCACATTTAATTTTTTACTATAATAAAAAATTTTCACATAAAATTACATCTTAATTTGAATTAAAAACTCGAATCAGCAAATTAAACGGGCCTTTAATTAATAATATTTTTAATAAAATAATTATATTAATAGAAGATATTAATAAAGAGTAAAAAGATAAAAATACATACTCATATTTAGACAGTTCAGACTCATATCCTCTGGCCCAATTCTGAGTTTTACTCCCCCCCATTAGTTATATACGCTGTTCAAATCATATTCTACAGTGTTTCTACTCTATTCCCTTGCTCAAGATTCGCTCCTCTCCATTATTATTATTATTATTATTATTATTATTATTATTATATAAAATACTAGCGTGCACTGAGCTATAGGATCTTGGGCAAAAGCAAACCTCACGTGCACTTGACTCACCCTTCGGATCTGTTCGGTTCTTCCGTTTAAATTTAATTCTATAAAATTTAAATTTTTTTTAAAAAAAATACTATAACAGAATTAAAATTATAAGTCTAAACGCATGAAATAAACAGTAATTTGCCTTTCTTTTTTAGGTGTTGTATATTATTTCTCATGCAATATCATTTTTTATTTTTAAAGATAAAAATTATTTTTTTTACTCAATTAGAGTCAAATTTCCTATTCATAAATGTGTCTAATCTAAATACTAATTTGGATTATATTCCTTATTCGAATTAAAATTTTAAATGCACAATCAAACTCAATTTTGATTACTTTTTAAGATCTCGTTTATTTTATTGATTCGAGTTTTCAGTTTTTAATTTTTATAATTAAAATTTTTTTGAAAATGTACATCTAATTTTTTTTGTTACAGTTAAAAACTCTCAGAAAATATCACATCTTAACTCAAATTAAAACTCAAATTTACGAAGTAAATGAGACCTAAATTACTATAGTTAAACTTTTTTATTTAAATTAAAAAAGTATAAATTAACACAATTTAAATCAATGAATTAAACGGACACCGAGTACATTCTACAATTTTATCTAGCCCAATCGAAAAAAAGATGCCCATTTAGAAGACAGTTGGGGAGTGATTAGTGATAAAAAAAAAATAAAGAATTCACCTTTTAAAAATACATAAGTGTGAACTTTTAAGTCTGACCCACTTTCAAAGATATTTGTTTAAGTTTCGCGTTGTCGTCCTTCCTTATTCCTTGACCCCCTCAACGTCAAATGAAAGCAGCTCCCACTTGGCTAAATACGCCATTTCTTTCTTTCACTTTCCAATCACAGTTCTTCGGATTCTCTGCTGCTCAACCATTTCTTGCTCACAACGACGTCGCACCGAGTCTAACCTTGACTCATCGCTCGACTCGCCTACTCAGCAACGCGGGAGTTTTCATGGCCTTGGTCGATCCCGATTCCAGGTCCGGTTTTTCTCCGTTTGGCTCCTGAGAAAGAAATGCTGCCAATTATTTACTTTCTTTTTCCGTGTTTTTTTTTTTCGATTAATTTCCGTAGTGGAATTAGAATCTTCGGAATTGCTGTAATTTATGCTTTCCAATGGAAAATCTTTAAATGCTTTTTAATTAAGCTCTATTATGTTGGATTTTCTTTTTTTTTTATTGTATTTATTATCTAATGCAGCTACGATAATCCCGATTATGTTGAGGTTATTATAGTGCGTCACGGTGAAACGGCCTGGAATGCTGATGGCAGAATTCAGGTCTTTTCCTTACTCGTTTATTTTAGTTCTATATATATATATATGTATAGGTGTATGTATGTATGTATGTATGTATGTATGTATGTATGTATGTATGTGTGTATGTATGTGTATGTGTGTGTATGTGTGTGTGTGTGTGTGTATATATATATATGTTGTAAATTATGAGAAGTTGATCAGTCGAATTTCCTTATTCTAAGTTCCACTTGATCGTAAGCAGCTGATGTGAAAAGTCCATTTTTATTTTATGAATAGCTACTTCGTGTGATAGATAAATTTCCTGTGATGATACCGTGAATGAGATTTCAAACTCATAGGTGAATCATGATATTCTCATTTTGCTTATTTTAGAATTAGAAGTATAAATCTAGTTTTTTAGAAGTAATGCAGCACATTGGGGTTAATCCACTTATGGAACTTGGTTGTTTGGAAGAGTTGGATAAGGATTACTGATGTAGGGAGATTTAACTATTAGTTTTTATGTTTTCATTGTCGTTTATTTTAGCTTGTTAATTTAGCTTTATTTTGTTACTAGTTTATCGTTTGTCTTAGTGTGTATTTTGTCATCATTTTGTAAGTGGACTATAAATAGCCACTTTAGCTATTGTAATTGAAGGCGAATGAGGAATTCTATTGATTGAATCAAAACGTTACATGTTAGGGTATATTTATCCCTGTACACAAAATCAGAAAATTAAACATAAAATATTCTAGAATCTTCCTAGTCAAACCCCTACAAATTAGGCATTCCTATATCAATCAGGAAACTACCCAAAATCTCCCATAATCTACAATTGTACAGTTGTACACGTTTTTCCTTAAATTCAAAATAAGCAAATATTCCAACACTCCCCCTCAAGTTGGGGTGTAGATGTTCTCCATTCCCAGCTTGCTCACTATTCTCTGAAACACTGGATTAGCCAATCCCTTAGTAAGGATATCAACCAACTGTCGGTCAGAAGATACGTAAGGAGTACAAATCAAGCCACTTTCAAGTTTCTCCTTTATGAAATGCCTATCAACCTCCACGTGTTTCGTTCGATCATGTTGCACTGGGTTATATGTAATGTTGATAGCAGATTTGTTGTCACAATAAAGTTTCATAGGCGTTTCCCATTTGATTCTCAAGTCTTCCAAGATTATCTTGAGCCATAGCAATTCATAGATGCCTTGTGCCATCGATCGAAACTCTGCCTCCGCACTGGATCTAGCCACAACTGGTTGCTTCTTGCTCCTCCAAGTCACTAAGTTCCCAACAAAGAAGGTGCAATATCCAGAGGTTGATCTCCTGTCAGTGACTGAGCCAGCATAATCTGCATCGGTATAAGCTTCTAATGTCAAACTATTCCCTTTCCTGGAGTAGCCTTCAAGTATTGCAATATTCGATACACTGCTTGGAGGTACACTTCCTTCGTATTGTATAAATTGACTCACCACACTTACGGCATATGCTATGTTTGGTCGTGTGTGTGAAAGATAGATTAATCTTCCAACTAGTCTTTGAAACATGCCTCTGTCCACGGATTCCGAGTTTGAAGCTTCTCCTAATTTGTGGTTAGGCTCTATGGGAGTGTCTGATGGTCTACAACCACGTCTGCCTGTTTCCTTCAACAAGTCTAGAATTTTTGTTGTGAAATGAGGATCCCTTCTTTGGACTGTGCCACCTCTATTCTCAAAAAGTACTTCAGTTTTCCGAGGTCTTTTATCTCGAATTCCTTGGCTAAGCACCTACAAAGAGCTTCCTTTTCTTCATGATCATTCCCAATTACTATTATGTCATCCACATAAACTAGCAACACTGTAACTCCCCTTGAAGTCGAATGTTTGATAAATAATGTATGATCCCCTTGACTCTGCTGATACTTCATCTTCAACATCACCTTTGCAAATCTCCCAAACCAAGCTCTAGGTGATTGTTTGAGTCCATACAACACTTTTCTCAGTTTGCATACTTTGTTTCTCCCAACATTCACTCCAAATCCCGGTGGAATTTCCGTGTAGTTCTCCTCCTCAAGGTCACCACGCAAGAAAGCATTTTTCACATCATATTGTTTCAAACTCTAGTCTAAATTAGCCGCTATTGACAGTAACAATCTCATTGTATTCATTTTTGCCATCAGTGTAAACGTTTTTTGATAATCCACCCCATAAGTTTGGGTGTATCCTTTAGCTACTAACTTTGCCTTATATCTCTCGAGGGATCCATCCGCTTTATATTTCACTGAAAAAACCCATTTACAACCCACTGGTTTCTTTCCACGTGGTAATTCCACCAATTCCCATGTTCTATTTTTTTCCAGAGCTTCCATCTCCACTCTCATGGCTTGCTTCCACTCATCATCGCTAAGTGCCTCAGATATAGTTTGGGGTATGGCTATGGTGTTTAGATGTGTGAGAAAGTTGTAGTTTGTGGGCGACAATTTTTCAAAGGATACAAAGTGGGATAATGGGTGTTGTGTGCATTGTCCAACACCTTTCCTTATAGCTATTGGTAGCTCAAGATCATGAATTGTGGGTGAAGCACCAATAGAGGAAGAATTTCCCTCATTACCAAGTGTGGAGTTGGACTCTCGGACTTGCACAAGATGGGCTATGGGAGCTTGACTCCTTGAGTATACTTGCAGCGGTTTTGTGCTTATTGGATTCATTGTCGGAGACGGAACTTCACAACTGTTTTGGACAGGGTTATCTGGCTCGGAATTAAAGGTAGATGGGTCGGAAATAGGCTCAATAGTGGGTTCCACAGAAGACTCGGATTGTATAGTAGACTCAAGAGGACTGACCGGTGGTTCACACAAGAACAGATCCTTATCTTCTGTAGATGTTATTTCCCCTTGAAGATAAGGATGAGAGAAATAGCTTTCTTGTTCAACAAATGTGACATCGGTAGAGACATAGGTTTTTCGAGCCATAGGATGGTAGCATTTGTACCCCTTTTTGGTGGATGAATAACCTATGAAGACACACTTAACTGCCCTAGGATCCAGTTTACCCCTACTATGACCATGTACATGGACAAATGAAACACATCCAAAGACCTTAGGAACCAGTTTAGTTGACGTGTTGAAATCTGGGTAGAACTTGGAAAAAACTTCCATTGGACTTTTCAAGTCAAGAACTCGGGAAGGAATGCGATTTATCAAGTGAGCCGTAGTGAGCACGGCTTCCCCCCAAAAGGTTTTTGGAACATTTCTTTGAAATAGAAGGGCACAGGTTGCTGCCAAAAGGTGGCTATTTTTCCTTTCGGTGACCCCATTTTGTTGGGGTGTGTCAGTACATGAGGACTCATGAATGATTCCCTCCTTTGAAAGTAAGGAGAGAGTGTTTGATTAAAATAGTCCCTGGCATTCTCTGTTCGTATTCTTTTGATACTCGTGCCAAATTGATTTTTCACCATATTATGGAAAATAGGAAATACTGTGCTCACATCAGATTTTTGCTTAGGTAGAAAAAGCCATGTCACCTGACTACAATCATCAATAAAAGAGGCAAACCACTGAGCTTCTGAAATGTTAGGAACTTAGGACGGAATGCGATTTATCAAGTGAGCCGTAGTGAGCACGGCTTCCCCCCAAAAGGTTTTTGGAACATTTCTTTGAAATAGAAGGGCACGGCTTGCTGCCAAAAGGTGGCCATTTTCCTTTCGGCAACCCCATTTTGTTGGGGTGTGTCAGTACATGAGGACTCATGAATGATTCCCTCCTTTTGAAAGTAAGGAGAGAGTGTTTGATTAAAACAGTCCCTGGCATTATCTGTTTGTATTCTTTTGATACTCGTGCCAAATTGATTTTTCACCATATTATGGAAAATTGGAAAAACTGTGCTCACATCAGATTTTTGCTTAAGTAGAAAAGGCCATGTCACCTGACTACAATCATCAATAAAAGAGACAAACCACCGAGCTCCTGAAATGTTAGGAACTCGGGACGGAATGCGATTTATCAAGTGAGCAGCAGTGAGTACGGCTTCCCCCCAAAAGGTTTTTGGAACATTTCTTTGAAATAGAAGGGCATGGCTTGCTGCCAAAAGGTGGCCATTTTTCTTTTCGGCGACCCATTTTGTTGGGGTGTGTCAGTACATGAGGACTCATGAATGATTCCCTCATTTTGAAAGTAAGGAGAGAGTGTTTGATTAAAATAGTCCCTGGCATTATTTGTTCGTATTCTTTTGATACTCGTGCCAAATTGATTTTTCACCATATTATGGAAAATAGGAAAAACTGTGCTCACATCAGATTTGTGCTTAAGTAGAAAAAGCCATGTCACCCGACTACAATCATCAATAAAAGAGACAAACCACCAAGCTCCTAAAATGTTAGGAACTCGGGACGGACCCCAAATATCACTATGGATTAAATAAAAAGGAATTGAAGTTGTTTTATTGCTTAAAGGAAAGGAGACACGTCGATGTTTAGCAAACTCACACACATCACAGTGGAAATCTTTTACATTGACACCCCTAAACAATGATGGAAACAAAATGCTAAGAACAGTAAAAGACGAATGACCAAGTCAAAGGTGGTAAAGCCAAATTTGGTCTTTATTTTGAGAGGACTGATTTGACAGAAAAGATAGAGGTTGTGGAATCCCTTTGTCACCTGGCAGCTCAAGGTGGTAAAGTCCATGCCTTTCCTTAGCACGTCCAATCATCATCCTCGTAACCTGGTCCTGAAATATACACGAATCAGAAGAAAATAAGATCCTGCAATTTAATTCCTTTGTGAGTTGGTGAATAGACAACAAATTGGTGGAGAGCTTTGGGACATGTAGGACATTTCTCAAAGTTAATGATGGGCTTAGTTTGATATCTCCTTTGCTGGCCACAGTGGCCATGGATCCATCAGCAATCGTGATTTTCCTACTACTGGGACATGGGCTATATGTGAGGAATTTGTGTGCTTGGTGTGTCATATGGTCGGTCGCTCCCGAGTCAACGACCCAAGAGCTGGAAAGGTTACAATCTGAGACACTTAGAGTTTGTTTAGTAGGAAAGAAAAGTAGAAGGAAGGAAGAAGGTGGAGGGATTTTGGGAGGGAAAATGAAAATGTAGGTTGTTTAGTAGGAGAGAAAAGAGAAAGGAAGAGAAAATGGAGTGGAAAATAATACATTTGGGTCCCACCATTTTTTTTCTTTCCACAAGTGGGCATAAAATGTGATGGAAAATGGGGATAACTCATTAAAGTGAGCAAAGTTACTAAACTACCATTTTCTCCATCAACATCCAAGCAAAAAATTTAAGGGTATAAAAGTAATTTACGAGTAAGATTTTTTCTTTCCTCCCAATTTAACTTCCAATACCAAACAAGTGAAGGTAAGCTCATTTTCTTTCCATCTTCTCATACCAAACAACATAAAAGAAAATCAATTTCCTTTCCATAATTGCTATTTTCCATCACTTCCATATTTTCTTTCCTTCCTACCAAACATAGCATTAGAGCATGTGAGAGGAGAAGTTTACCTGAGTGTGCTAAGGAACAGGTACCTGGAGCTTTTTCAAGTGAATCGAGAAGTGATCTCAACCTTCCAATGTCATCTCTGTTGAATTCGCTTCTCTCTCCGCCACTGGAACTCGATCCATCATTGGTTGCATTCTCATTAGATTGAGAAATATGTGCTTGCCCTCGCTGCTGCCCGTTTCTTGATCCTCTATTCCAGTTTGAACTATGGGGTTTTCCATGTAATTTCCAGCAGTTTTCTTTGGTGTGTTGGGTTTTTTTGCAATAAGTGCACCATAAGTTGTCATTGTTTGCAGGCCTGGAATCGGTTCTGCTGGTTTCAGAATTTGTAGTGCTTGCAGCCGAAGTCTTCTCTCCATTGTTCTTCGATTTGTACTCCATTATACGACTTGTTAATAATGCCGATCCTTCAACTGATTGGGGCTCAAGCATGACTCCTCTTTTGTTTTCTATGGCAATAATAATAGAGATGGTCTCATTTAGGGAAGGCAATTCCTCTTTTCCTAAGACTTGAACCCGAATAGGATCAAATTCGACATTGAGACTAGTGAGAAAATTGAAGATTCTTTCTCTCGCAATAAACTTTTTGAGTATTGCAGTATCGTCACTACACTTCATTCTCAAGTTCTGGTAGTGGTCCATCTCCTGCCAAAGGCTTTTGAGAATGTTCGCATACTCGGTGACGGTCCGAGTTCCTTGTTTGGTCGTTGTAATCTTCATCTTGATTCCGTAACTTTGTGCAGCATCACGTACCTTGGAGTACGTCTGTCTCACTGCCTCCTAAATCTCCTTGGCAGTAGATAAACACATACAAGTCCCACTGATTTCAGGGATCATTGAGTCCCACAGCCAAGACATAATCAGTGAGTCTTCTTCATCCCATGCCGTGAATTTCAGGTCACTTGCATCGGGTCTGGTTCCAAGAAGGTGGTTCAATTTTCCGCGCCCTTTTAGAGAGGTTCTCACAAATTGAGACCACTAGAGATAATTCTTCCCGTTGAGTTTGTATGCAGCCGGAACTGTTTGAAGCTCTCCAATGGCCTTGTGAACAACAGTTTCCGTTCTTTGTTCAGTTGCCCTTGACACAATTGTTCCGGATTCTTCAGACATGTTGATTTTGGTTCAAGAATTATGAGACCAAAGGAAAACAGGAGCGGAAAGATCAGTGAGAGATGAAGCGGCAATTAAGGCTTGATAAGTGAACCAGAAAATTGAAACACCAATGGCTATGAAGGCAGAAAAAAGTTAGAATTCCCAGAGTCGTGGCTTTGATACCATGAAGGCGAAAGAGGAATTCTATTGATTGAATCAAAACGTTACATGTTTGGGTATATTTATCCCTGTACACAAAATCAGAAAATTAAACATAAAATATTCTAGAATCTTCCTAGTCAAACCCCTACAAATCAAGCTTTCCTATATCACTCCGGAAACTACCCAAAATCTCCCATAATCTACAATTGTACAGTTGTACACATTTTTCCTTAAATTCAATATAAGCAATTATTCCAACAGTAATAGTTAGACTTCAATATTTTAACAACTGAATACTAGAGTTGTGTTTTCTCTCCAATTTGGGGGGTTTTCCCCTTGTGGGGTTTCTTTAAGTACACTTGGGATTGCATGTCCCATTTTCCGTCCGGGTTAGGTCAATACAATCTTTTTCTATCCATTCCACTGTATCAATTACTCTATCCACCAATTTTAGGGCACGTTTACCGAGCCACAAAAGAATGTAATGGAAAAGGTTATGGATTTGGAAAGAAGAGTAAAGGAATAAGAATGGATCACTGATTTTTATCTATTAGCATGTGGAATCGAAAACAATGCTCGATTTCTTTTCTTGTGTTTACTAAACTTAGGAATAGATATTTTCAAGTTAATTACTAATATATTCTTGTGCATAACTAAATAACTCCTGGCTTGATAAGAGAAGATAAGTAAATTAACTGGGTATTAGTACCTCGGGGGAGTTGGGATTGACATTCTTTTTCCACATTCCCTATATTATGTGGGCCCCACTATATTATTATTTCTTATTTTGCAAGTAATACATGGATAGGTGGGAAAGAACAACATTCCTCCCTCGGTTCTTTTCTATTCATGTGAGGTAAACATGCCCTCATTTCTTTCACAGAATGTCGTTTAGGTTCCTTCTAGCAAGAACATATTTAGATCCGTCATCTATATAGGTAACTTGTTAACTATTTACGTTTCTCAAATGAGGACCAGTGTTGTTCGAGTATCTTTTTCCTAACTTATATATTGTGTTTAATGCCCACACGTTTGTTTAATACATTTTTGTTCATCATTAATCTCTTCTATATGTATACTTGTAACTCGATTTTTGTCCCTTTTCCTGGTCAAGGATTCTATTTCATCAATAGATTTGTCTTAAACAGGGTCATCTGGATGTTGAATTAAATGATGCCGGGAGACAGCAAGCCGCTGCAGTAAGTTATACATTATTTTTTAAAATATCTACTCAAGAAAGCGGATAACGTGTTTCAATCTGGTTGGCTATGCCCTGCACTTGATAAAAGCTTATAACATTTCTTTTACTTTCTTTAGGTGGCTGACAGATTATCAAAGGAGCCTAACATCTCTGCAATATACTCTTCTGACTTGAAAAGAGCTCTTGAGACTGCGGAGATAATTGCAACTGGCTGTGGTGGTTTAGAGGTATTAATCCATACATGTAAAATTCTTGATTGCATTTGAATGTTTTATCTCCATTGGTGTAAGGTAATGAAACTCTGGCATCTATTTTTTGTTTATGCTCTGAAATGAAGAGTCATAAAATGGAAGCGCCTTGATACCAATTGAAAATGTCAATGATTTTTTTCACCGGTTTGATAAACAATGAAGCTAACTCAGGTTGGAATGGACTTAAATTCAGGTTATCAAAGATACTGGTTTACGAGAAAGGCATTTAGGGGATCTTCAAGGTCTTGTATTTCGTGATGCTATGAAAGTATGTCCTGAAGCATATGAGGCCTTTGTGTCTCCAAGGAAAGATCAAGAAATTCCAGTAAGTACTCTTTATATACCTGGAGTTTTGTTGATACAACGTCAGTATTAATTCAATTTCTTTAGTAAATAAAGCTCCTCATAAGAAAAGGCATTACTGGGGAATGTGGACAAATCTAGACTGATTAGGACCTATTTATGGTAATTTCTTAGGTCAAAGGAATATGCTAGGTTTATGCCTATTGTATTAGGAAAGGATTATTCTTCTTTATTCTTTCCTTTTCTACTCTGTTTTCAGAGCCTTTTTATGGCCGGTTGTACTTCATTCCAAATCATAAGAGAATAAGAAATAAAGTAGTGTTTTTCGTTCACTGTTTTCTACCCATGTGTGTTCACATGGTATCAGAGCCACCGGTTGAAGAAAACAATGTATAGAACGGCTTTGACTGGAGCAAGCGGAGGTGATGTTTCTGAGGTTGCCACGAGCAGCCCTAAAATAACCTCCACAATTGCTCCCACTGCTATTCCCGAGAGCATCAATCATCCCTCCCTGCAAATCCGAATGGGAAGAATTTTCTCAAGTGGTCCCGTTCGGTCCTAATGGTGATTCGAGGAAAGGGAAGGCTCGGATATTTAGATGGCTCAATTCCAACACCAAATCTGAAGGATCCCTCTTATGCAAATTGGGAGGCGCAGAATTCAATTGTGATGGCTTGGTTAATCCATTCTATCGAAGATAATATTGCTGACACATACATCCTCTTTCCCACGGCTAAAAAGATTTGGGATGCAGTCACAATGGCCTACTCTGACTTGGAAAATACCTCACAGATGTTTGAATTGAGGAACAAGATCCGAAACCTAAGACATGGGGAGAGCAATGTGACGGAATATTATCATGAGGCAACAAGACTGTGGTAGGAATTGGACCTGTTCACTTCTCCCTCTTGGAAAGACCCTGAAGACTCGGTTTTGTATAGAAAGTTGGTGGAACGTGATCGTGTGTATGACTTCTTGGCAGGACTGAATAAGGATTTGGATGAAGTTCGTGGTCGCCTACTAGGGATGAGACCACTTCCTCAAATCGAGGAAATCTTTGCTGAAGTCCGTAGAGAAGAGTCAAGGAGGAGAGTCATGTTGGGAACCACCACGTCAAATGGGGAAAATTCTGCCCTAGTTGTCCGTGGACAAGAAAGTAAAGGAGAAGGGAAACCAAACAAAAAATGGTGTGATTATTGTAAAAAGCCCTATCACACCATATCACACCAAGGAGAATTGTTGGAAGTTACATGGGAAACTGGCCAATTGGACTTCTAATCGAGCTCGTGGACATGAAGGAAAAGGGTTTCAGGCATCAATGGAGAAACAAGAGGAAACTGAACCAGTCATGGGAACCACGGCCTTTACCAAGGAGCAGATGGAACAATTGAAACAAATGATAGCGCAATCCTCTTCGATGTCCCTTATGACTCAAAAAGGTAAAGCTTTAACTGTTTTTTGTGGACTGGCCGAGAAAGGAGAACCATGGATTATTGATTCTGGAGCAATGGATCATATGACTGGGTGTGTAAAATTATTCACATCATATGTTCTTAGTCCGGGAAATCACAAGATGCAGATTGCAGATGGTACTTCTTCAGTTGTGGCTGGTAGTGGTGTTGTAAAAATCGGAGATAATGTTGTCCTAAAAGAAGTTCTTCATGTGCCTAATCTTAATTTCAATCTTTTGTCAATAAGTAAGTTAACAAAAGATCTGGATTGTAAAGTGATCTTTTCTCCATCTGCTTGTTTTGTTTAGGACCGATCATCGGAGAAGAGGATTGGCAGTGCTAAGGAACGAAATGGTCTATACTACTTTGAGGATGATTCAAGTGTCCATGGGCAAGCTCAAATGGTTGGAAGCACCTCTCTTTCAAGAATTCAAAAAATTATGTTATTGCACTATAGGTTAGGACATCTCAGTTTCCCTTATATGAAATTCTTGTTTCCATCCTTGTTTGAAAATAATGATAAATTTCAATGTAAGATTTGCCAATTAGCTAAACATACTCGTGTCTCCTTTCCCCCATTATCATATTGTGCATCTAAACCGTTTGTTCCTATTCATAACGATATTTGGGGACCTTCCCGCATTTCAAGCGTTACCAATAAAAAATGGTTCATTATCTTTACTGATGATCATACACGTGTTTGTTGGGTTTATCTTCTAAAAGAAAAATCTGAGGCCGAGGGTATTTTCAAACAATTCCATTCCATGGTTAAAACACAATTTGATGAGAACATTAAATTCTTAAGAACAGATAATGGGATTGAATTTTTCAAAAACACTATGGGGGGGAATTTGTCACTACTAGTGGGATAATTCGTCAAAGTTCATGTGTTAGCACACCTCAACAAAAATGGGTGGGGGTATCTGAGAGAAAAAATCATCACATTTTAGAAGTGGCCCGTTCCTTGTTGTTCACTGCCAACTTACCAAAATTTTTTTGAGGGGATGCAGTTTTGACCGCTACCTATATGATTAATAGGGTACCTTCACGCGTCTTAAAATTTCAAACTCCAATAGATTGCCTATACAAGTCATACCCACAGTCACGGTTTCTATCTTCGTTAGAGTTAAAAGTGTTTGGTTGTGTTGCCTTTGTTCACAATCTTGATCCACATTGGGGAAAATTGGATCCTAGGGTTCATAAGTGCATTTTTTTGGGATACTCGGCGACTCAAAAAGGGTATAGATGTTATTTAGTAGAGAAAAGAAAATACTTTGGCCGTGTTTGGAATTGATCCCGTTTTTGTTTTTCATATTTTTCGAGAAAGAAAAAAAGAAAACGTTTCCAAAACGGCGTTTGGCGCAATAAAGACAAAAAACGGAAATGAAAACAATTTTTTAATTTAGTGTAAAATGAGAGAAATGAAAAATAACTTTTAGTCGTTTTTCATTTTTTGTTTTCGTTTTCTTCTCTCTCGAGCAGAGAGAAATAGAGACATTAACGAGTTTTTTTATACTGAAAATAATCTCTTGATAAAACTACCAAACGCATTTTCAAAAATGATTTATGTCTGAGATTAAAAACGTTTTCATTTTCATTTTCATACAAAAAACAAAATCATTTTGGAACGAGTTCCAAACGCGCCCTTTGTATCTAGAGATGTGACATTCTTTGAAAATCAACCATTTTTTACCAAAAATTCCCTTCAGGGGGAGAAAGTGTGGGAAGAAAATTTTTGAGAAAAATCAAAACCGACTTCCATCTCAACCTCAAATGATTCAAATGTGTGGGAATTCTTTTGGGATTTTTCTCCTTTAGAAACCCAAAGTCATATCCCTTCCAATCCGCCAGGAAATGTTCAAAACCCAGGAGATCAAGAGAAAAATTCAGCAAATATTTCTTAAATAAACCCACCAGATGGCCTTGAAATTGATCTTGAAATCTTTCCCAAATCAGCTCCACTAGTTCTTACTCAATCCATTCCTTCAAATCAGATCCTAAATCAATCTCTTGATGAACCAAAAAATCTGTTACCCATAGTGCATGAACATAATAAACATAAAGAGAGTGGCTTGAAATTTTTTGTTCGAACTTATGTAAGAACCAAAAAAATGTAGAAAGCCAGGAAGTTCCTCGCCACCAAGAATCGGAACCAATGACAGGTCTTGAAGTGGATATTAATGACTTAGAGATCCCAGTTGCATTGAGGAAAGGAGTAAGATCCTATACGAAACATCCAATGGCCCATTATATTGGATATGATCATCTAACAAACCTATGAAAGCTTTTGTAGCTAACTTGGCTAGTGTGGAGATTCCAAGTGTAACGCCCCCAACGTTAAACTGGTCTAAGGCTGAATTTAGCGAGGTGGTGCTATTTAAAACATACTTTCTATACTTAAAAATAATGTCATTTTTAAGATGCGAAAACTTGTAGTTGATTTCATTACAAAATTTTCTTAAAGGTTTTTGAACAAAATGAGTCAGTGCGCAAAATGATTACAACTACAAATCTTAAACATTAAACAGTTATTCAAAAGCGACATAATAACAAAAAAAAAACATTTTGGGTCCATCTATTGTTTGGAAGTACATATAAGCAAGATGCCAGATGTAAGATTTGAAGTACTTAGCCAACCTTGGAAATCATTTTTTTTTTACTCTTCGATAACAACATTATCTGCATCACAAGGTAAAACTAATGAGCAAAAACTCAATAAGTAGATTTTAAATAAAGTAAGTATCTAAAATCTCCGTAGTTGAAATCTCTTTGTTAAACATTGTTCATGAAGATTTTTAGGAAGAATGAATATCAATACTTATTCCTTGAATCAGCTAGTACACATATATATACAAATAGTAAAGCTTTGACTATTCTTAGGTTGTAACTAAATAATGAAACAAACCCACTAAACTAGGAAAGTTTAAAAATAAAGATCTGGTAAGAATACTGGATTCTCCTAATTTATACACAAAATATAAGGGATAATTCATAGAAATCTTCCCTAATTGATTCGGAAATCTCAACACTCCTCCTCAAGCTTAGTTGTAGATGTTGAACAAACACAGCTTGTGACTCAATCCTTCGAAGCTTGTTCTTGGAAGAGCTTTCGTGAGTATATCTGCCACTTGAGATTGTGTGGGGGTATAGATCAATTGTATTATTGAGTTGTTAATCTTCTCTGAGATAAAATGATGATCAATCTCAATGTCATTAGTTCTGTCATGATGTATCGGATTCTTGGCGATGCATATAGTTGCTTGATTGTCACAGAAAAGCTTGATCGGTTTCTCACTTGTTATCCCCAATTCCTTGAGTAGTCTCCTTATCCGCATTCCTTCACAAATGCCAAGGGCCAATGCTCTAAACTCAGCTTCTGCGCTGCTCCTTGAGACTACTGGTTGTTTCTTGCTCCTCCATGTGACTAGATTCCCATAAACATAGGCACAATAACCGGTTGTTGATCTTCTGTCCTTTACATCTCTTGCCCAGTCTGCACCTGAGTAGATCTCAATATCCTGGTTTCCAGTCTTCCTGTATAGTATACCCTTTCCTAGTGTCATTTTTAAGT